AGATGTAGAGGTCAAGAGCAGAGGAGAGCACTGTACTGAAGGGGATGTTGATTTGCACAGGGCAGAGACAGGGAAGGGGGAAGCATGTCCGGGGGACTGTTAATTAATTTGGTAGGACAGCTAACTCGCCCCTATATCTGTCATTTAAATCTTTTATCTGCTAACAGCAATCAAGTGCCCTCTCTAAGCTGAGCGCTGTATTCAGGGCCAGGGAAGGCAGAAATTGAGGTCCATCCTCAAATAACTCATAGTCCAATGGAGGAATCCGACTTGCAAACAAGTTCAGAGCAATGTGACTGATGCTATGGTAAGAGGCGTAAACAAATGCTTTAGAAGCACACAGTGAGGACTGCCTGATTGTCTGGAGGAGTCACAGAAGCCTTCGTGTAGGTGATGCCATTTGGATTGGGTCTTAAAGATCAGTAAGAGCTTGCTAAGCTAAGCAAGGCAGGAGAGCCCAGGCAAAGAGCAGGGGATCTTTCTGAGCCTTGACTCCTGTTAAGGCTCAGCATGAACCCTCAAGTACTTCCAGTTTCCTTAATGTTCCTCACGTATGCCAGACTGGTTTTCAGCCCACTCTTTCTGCTCATTATCTGTTGCATGTGCCAAGCCTGGGATGCCCATTCCTAAATGCCAAGGCCCAGCACCCACCCCCTGCAGCTGTCCACGTGGTCTCCCCAGCTATAGTCAGCTGGAGAAACGATATTAATGCGGATCCATCTCAGATATCCAGAGATGCAGCCAGACAGTGGGCAGTAATGTAAGAGCTGGCATAAACTCATCCCAAAGCATTGCTCATTGGGGTCCTTCTACTCCTGTTCCCAAAAACATCTCAGGAAAATGTAATGCCAAGTCGACAAATGGCTGCCACTATTCCAGCCTACAATGTTCTCTCCCTGCTTTGAAATTCTAAAACACTCTTAGTTTGTACTGCCAACTTAGAATATATAAATGTATCATTTTAAAAATAAATTCATCATTTTAATTGTTTCTCATGTGTCACTAACGAGACAATAGTTAGTGGTATGTCCCTAACTTGACTATAAGCTCCTTCATGACAAGAACAAACTCTCATATTCTTCTCTAGGGAAGTAGCATGACCCTATGCCCCAGGGCACCAGGAGCAGTCCCAGTGACACCAGTTATGAGCATGCCCTCATTAGAAGCCTTCCAATAACCAGCCTTGTAGGGCAAACATCCATCCACTCAGTTGTAGGCACACAGAAAATATTTAATTCATTGATTTTCCCCAAATTTTCACCAACCACCTGGTCCTAAAGACAAAATGTCTTAGAGCATTGCCTAGCCTTGCACAAACTGCTCTAGAGTCTCCGCTGGATCCAAGACCGCCATTTTGTGCAACTGATTCCATGAGAAACAGCTCTAGCCCTGACATGCCGTGTTATTTTCAAGATTCCCATTCTCTTCTCACCCTGGACACTTAACCTGACTTTGTCCAGAACTCAGCCTCACCACCTCATCCTGAAACCTGCTTTCTCCTTCATTCCCTCTTTCGGTGAATGGCATCCATTGTGTTGCTCAAACCAAAACCCTGGGAAACATCTTTTACTTCTAACTAGAATAACCGTAAATTTGCCATATGAACTGTTGCACTCGAGAGAGTGAAAAGAGGTGCTCATAGTAATTGCTCTAGCACAACTAGGACTCTTCTGGACAAGCCAGAATGTACAACCACTCTTCTTCTTCCTTTCACCTCTTCCTGCCTTTGATGATCAGTCAATTAATCAATGGACAAGCCCTGTCAGTTCCATCTCCTAAGTATCTCTCAGGCCCTGGTGCCCCCATTTCTGTCACCATCATCTCTTGCTTAGATTATAGTGACAACATCTAAACACATTTCCCTGTTTACAGTCTTGCAAGTTTCCAATCTACTTTCCACCAAACAGAGAGATCTTTCTAAAGCACACATTTAATCATCTCACCCCATGCTTAAAAACTCTTCAGTGGTTACATTTCTTTTTTTTTTTAAAGAAAAAAGTTCAGGCTCCTCAATATGGTCCCCATTGACAAGTTTCAACATCTTCTTTCATTACCCTCATCTCTTAATTACCCTTAAAATTCATGTTACAGCCAGATTGATGTACTTTAGTTTCCCTGGAAATGCTGTCTCATCATGCAGTCTTTACATATGCTTTGCCCAGTGCCCCAAACCCTTCCCTTCCCTCACAGCTTTCACATGGTGAACTCTTTTTATCCTGCAGTACCCTTTCTATCATACCCCGAAGGCTTACCACTACCCTTCACCCAGCAACTGACTCTGTTGAAACACAACTCTAATCAGTTCACTTCATTGATTAAACAATTCAGTGGTTTCTGATCTACAGCAGAAAATCCAAGATCCTTAGTAGATCTCTGCAAACATTGATTTCTCACTGCTCTGTCTTTGCTTTTACCATTCCTTGTGCCTAGAATGCTCCTCCATAGTTTTAGGGAATGCTGTGTTTGAATTTTGGTTCTAATACTTCTTAGTGGGTGATATTGGGCAAATTTTTAACTTATCTCTGTGTTAGTTTTATCCTTGGTGCAACAGGGATAATTATAGTATTTATTTTGGAATTTTTGTGAAGATGACATGAATGAATATTTTAAATAGTGCACATAATAAAACTTGCAACAAATCTTAGCTATCATCATTAGTATCCTTATTTTTATTATTGATGTTCTAGACCTCATCTCCTTCAAGAAGTTTTTGTTCAACTACCAGGGTTCATTCATTCATTCAAAACCTACATATGAAGCCCCTACAGTCTACCAGAGACTCTCTAGACACTAAGAAATAAAGATGACTTACATACTCACTACTTTCAAGAATACCATAGTCTACTCTTCCTCCCATATTACTAGTGGTAATTGTATCACTTTAAAATAATGTACCAATATCGTCTATTCGTATGTCACCTTCTCCATGAGACTGTATGATCTTCAGAGGCAAAAAGGGATGTATTCATTCTTGGTCCCACAGTGTTGAGTACACTTCCTGGCACAGAGTAGGTTCTCAGTGAATGTTTGTTGGCCTAAACAAATACCACATTTCATCATGCTGGTCTTACACAACTCTTGGCAAATATTCTGCCAAAGCAAGTCTCAAATCATAAAAACCAGTTTATACCTGTCCTAAAATTTCCTTTCTTGTTTTGCTGTGCTGAAAAAAAAAAAAGGTGCTACTGTATTATTTGTCTATGATGTCCAATAATTTCAGAAGTCTGCAGACTTTAGATGCAAAATGTGCTAGAGCCTGTTAAAAGTTATGGATAGAAATGAAACAATACTTATTTTGTCTAATTTTTCTCAGTAAGCTCCATAAAAATAATCATTGGGTACCTTCCCAAAGCATCAGTAACAGTCCTGTACTATGGACAAATTTCAGGAACGACTATCCAAACCTCAGGCCTTCTGTTCATTCCTCTTTCCAACCATCCATCCCTCCATCCACTCACCCATTCATTCACAAGTTAATACCAATTAACCTTAAACTCTATGACCAGAATGGTGTTAAGGCACTAAAGTCTTTCACATTCCAGTATTTCTTATACAATTTTCAGCAGTAAAAGTAGGAGTAATGGAGAAGACAATATGATGTCTAATTTCTCCTTAACACACTTATTATTAGTAGTTTTATTTAATCATATGCACTTTTATCAGAGTTTATGACAAATATGACATGTTTTGTGAAAAGTCACCTTTCTAAGAAAAAATACTTTTTAAGTTGTTTTGAGAAAGCAATCATGAGTGAACAGGTAAAAGTCCTGAGAATTTAATAGAGCTAGAACCTCCGGGCCTAATGAATAAATGAAGAGAGATGGTCATGTGGTTCTAAGTTAAACAGTCAATTCCCCGGTGCTCACTTGGCAAATTGTAATTATTACCAGTGCCAAGTGTGCTAATAACATTAATAAATCCAATCTCCCAAACCAAACTTAATTGACCTGGAATAATTGCTAAGAACACCAGTCATAGTAAAAGGGAAAATGCTTCCCATGAACTTTCTGTGTCTGCACACTTAGAAGCAATGCATCAAGCAACAGGTTCTTCTAAGAAAATCCCACAAGAGCTCTTCTATCTCTCTAGTCCATGGTGTTTCATACTTTCCAAAAATTCTGGTCTCTTTTGAGTCAAAAGAGAAAGATCTCCAGACTTAGATATGCCATTTCCTGCAGAGTTACAGGGCAAGGCAAGGACAGCATGCCAAAGCCAGGAAATCTCAAGAGCGGTAAAAAGATTGGACCAGATCAGTGACAAGGAAGCAATCACACACTTAGTCTTGCAAGAAGAGCTCCTTCTCAGGAGCCCTGAGCATGCCAACCTTCAGCCAAGCTCTGTTAACTTCATTAAATATCAACAAGCAAAGGTTGTATTATTACTTTGCTCAGTCTATTCCCTGTGGGGATAATTAGGAAGTTGGAAGAATTCAGGGCAATTCCCAAGCTTACCTGTCTTCCTTCTGCTGTACATGGGGACCTTCAGTTCCTAATCCTATATCAAACCAAGACAAACATAGCTAATTATGATTAACTGATGATAACATTCCAGAAAATCTTGCTTTTTCTCTCTGTTTCAAAATCCCTGCCATATTTTCCAGGTGTTTCCCTTGAGAGTGGATCATCAGCACTTCCTGGAGTATGCTGCCCACCTGTTCTTCTGGAAGCAGCAAACCACAAGCTCAACAGCAATATCTGAAGTCATTTTCTTCCTTGAGGTCCTTTTATAGCGTGTGTCTCATCTTGAAATCTGAAGAGGCTGACAAGTAGGACTTCTTCCATAGAGGAACATAGGGAGACATTCTGCCAAAGAACAGCAGACCTTCTGGTCTCATTGTCTGAAAGATCCTAATTCCTCATTAGTAATTAGTCATTTTTTCCTAGGATTTCTTAAGGCTTTCTAAGTTATCTAAAAAATGTAAATACTGTCTTTTATATATTATCTATGGATTTTGTTCCTTCACCTTGATTTCTATTTTGCTGGTTCCTTCCTTATTCTAGAATCATCTAATGAAATCATCAGCTCAGTAGTTGGGTGCTCTTGTCCTCTCCTGTCACCAAGAAGCATCCCTCTGCCTGGAGGCAATCAACTACAAGGGACAGACTCATGCACAAGGACCATGGAAAGCCTTGGAGAGACCATGCAAATCAGGCCAGCCTTTCCAACTACTGAAGTAAACCTTCAGGAGCCTTGCAGGCAAAGGTATATTTTGGGACATCAGCAATGCATATTTAAAGTTAAATCCCCTGTTATACATTAGTATTTTCCTTCCTTCCTCCCTCCCTTCCTTCCTACTTCCCTCTCTCCCTCTCTTCTTTCTTTCTTTCTTTTTCTTTCTTTCTTTCTTTCTTTCTTTCTTTCTTTCTTTCTTTCTTTCTTTCTTTCTTTCTTTCTTTCTTCTTTCTTTCTTTCTCTTTCTTTCTTTCTTTCTTTCTTTCTTTCTTTCTTTCTTTCTTTCTTTCTCCCTTCTCTCTCTGTTTCTCCCCCCCCCTCTCTCTCTCCCCCCACTCACACACACACAGAGATGCATAGATACAATCTGTTTTTTCTCACTGTGTCTGATTGCCTCTTTCTGTGTCTGTCTTTTTCTGTAATTTTCCACTTTATGTTTTTTTCTCTGTGGCTGTCTCTTTACGCCTCTCTTTAACCACCTACTTCTCCAATATTACTTTACCCAGTGTATCCCTTTCATTAAAACAAGAAAATCTTAATGTCCAATGGCTGCCACTAATTGGTCACATGAGCCAATGTGCCTACCCCGTTTTTAGGTTATTCTTCTTATAAGACCTGAGAGGATAATGTTTTTCCAGAGAAGACATTGATGCTTTTGTATTTCCATGATTTGGTTGCTTAAGAATGGTCTAGCAGTTTGCCAAAAGATATATAGAGAAGAAGCATACCTCTAGGGATAGGGAGTGCCCATCTTCTAATGGTGCCCAGCCAATACAGGAATTTGGTAACTTCATAAGAAATGATAAGGAGCTGAAGCCCAAGTCACATGCCATCAAGATTCATATTAAGTTATTCTGATGACTTTAGAAAACTGATGGTTTTCAGTCCTTACTATAGGAATATTTCAAACCAGCCTTCTACAAGTTTCTGATAGAATTAAAAGCAATCTCTTGTATCCATCCCTTCTCCACAATTCTATCTGGCAACCACATCAACATCTGGTGGATATTCTGAGTGGAATCTTAACCAACCTTCATAATTGGGAGAAGGAAATTGGAGTGTTAGTAAGAAAGAGTAGGAAAGATATTCAGAGCAGACAACACCACTGTAGGAAAGTACCTTTTAAATCTTGGAATAAATATATTCCAAATTGGGAAAGGGGTCACTAAAATAAATAAAAATTGACTAAGTTTACTCATTTCTAAAGAACAGATCCAATAAGAGTGTTTTCCACATACTAAATTAGCATAGATTCTGAACTGAGCATATCCACCAAGAGAATATGGTGGAAAAGGCACTTAGGGTACTCGTTACAGGATATAAAGGTTCTGGAAATCAGTCTGATGGAATGTCAAAATCCTTAAAACTTTTCATATCCATTGACACAGTAATATAGAATTCTGGGTAGAATTCTAAGAATATATCCTGAAATAGATAAAAAATTAATATACAGAGATGTTTGTTACAGCATTATTCATCATTGCATAAAGAAAGGAAAACTGTAAGCAATTTAAATATCCACAACTAGGGAAATAGTTAAGGAAAAATAGTTTGCAGATCATTTTAAATATAGAGATATGCTTACGATAAAATGTTAGGAGAAAAAGAGCAAGATATAAAATAATCTAAACTATGATGATATGAGTAAGAAAAACAGAATGTGGAATTATAAGTATTTTTATCCTTCTGATTTTTTAAGGCCTTACAAAACCTCTACAATATGCAAATATTGCTTTAACAATCATTCTCAGAAAACTGTAGACTCAAAGGCAGAAATTCAAACACTCATATAAACCTCTGACTGGACTCACCAAACTATTCTCTGAAGCATGGCTCCCTGAGAAAAGAAACTGTACAAATGTTTCCTTCTGAGATTCTTAGGCTCTCTGATAACTTTCTAAATTTATCCTTTATTGAATTAAAATAACCACAGCCCTGATTACCCACCCACATGCAAGATTTTCAGAAATCTTTTGGAGCAGCTTCTCAAATTCTCCAGGGTTTTCTGTAGTTGCAAAATTCAGAGGGTTTAGCTAAACTGGATATTGCATGAAAATACGGTGTCACAAGTTGGCTTACAAAAGTTTCTGGTAAGATTTTAGTAACCATATTTTGGTGAATAAATGAAATCCTGAGACTTGATTGGATCATGTTCTGAGATTTCTTTGTCTGGGAAAGGCTACTCTTTTTTAGGAATCTTTCCCCTGGGCTGGCTCCAGGGTACCATAAGACTGTCAACAGTACCTACTTCAATCTAAATTTAGTAGGCTTTCACAGAAACTGTTGGTCTAATAATTCAATCTTGTTTTTGATTTGTATATTCTAGATACATATGTTTATCAGATATATGTACTGGGAATATTTTCTTAGTGACTTTTTAGATTTCTGATGTGATCCAATTTGTTATTTTTTTCTCTTAGTTTTAATGTTTTTATGTTCTTTCTAAGAAATATTTTGCCTACCTCCAAGGTCAGAAAGATACTCCTCTATGTTTTCTCCTAGAATCTTTATAGTGTTAGCTTTTAAGTATAGATCTATGACCCATCCTGAATTAATTTTTATGAAGTGTAAGGTAGGGCTCATAGTTGGTTTTCCTCTTGCATTTGTTCAATTGTTCCAGAACTATTTTATTATTAAACATTTTTCTTTGCTCATTGAATTCTCTTCACATATTTGTTGAAAATCAATTGACCATATGTCTGTGGTCTTATGGCTAGACTCTATCACATTCCTCTGCTCTATGTGCATAACCTAAAATGATTAATAATCTGTTTTGATTACCTAAATCTGTACTGAGTCTTTAAATCATATATTGTAGGCCTTCCAAACTGACTTTTTCCCTTTCTTTCTTTCTTTCTTTCTTTCTTTCTTTCTTTCTTTCTTTCTCTCTTCTCTCTCTCTCTCTCTCTCTTTCCTTTGCATTTACAGATAAATTTTAGGATGAGCTCTTCGGTTTTGACAAGTTTCTTGTTGTGATTTTGATTAAGAGTGTACTGAATCTACAGATAAATATGAGGACCATCAACATATTAAAAATACTGGATTATCTTATCCATGAACATGGTATATCTTTCCACTTATTTGGATCTTCTTTAGTTTCTCACAGCAATATTTTATTTCAACAGGGAGTTCTTGTATGTCTTTAATTAAATTTATTCCTTAGTATTTTATGATTTTTTAAAATTCTGTTTTAAAAGAATTGAAACATTTTTTATTCTCCTATTCTTTACTGTTAGTATATAGAAATGCAAATGTTTAGGCATATTGATCATGTATCCTGTGCTCTTGCTAAACTTACTTATTCTAGTAGTTGTTTTGTAGAATATTTAGCATTTTCTGTATAAATCATCATTTTCTATATAAATCACCTGCAAGTAAAGACCATTTTACTTCATTTTCAATCGGTATGCCTTTTTTTCTTGCAGCTTTAACATAAAATCATCATACGAGAAATAGAACATGCTTAATGTGTACAATTTGACATGTCTTGACATATATAGACCCATAAAACCATTGCCATAATAAATGTAGTGAATATATCCATTATACTCAGGTTTCCTCATGCCTTTATATACTCACTCCTTTCTACCTTTCCCCATCTAAATGCTTTTTTTTCTTTTACTCACCCTATTGCCTTGGCTAGAGCCCCAAATTACAAATATCAGGAATAAAAGAGGGAACATTACCGTGGACCCTACAGATATTAAAAGGATATTAAGAGAATATTATGAATATCAATATTCAACAACTTAGATAAAATAGAACAATTTTTTTGGTAAATATAACTAAAATAAAACTGAAACTAAAAGAAATAGAAAATCTGAATTCTCCTATATCTATTAAAGAAATTGAATTCATTTTGTTTCCTCATTTTCAAAAAATTCTTCCAGACATTCCCATGTATTCCATTTGTTTTAATGATCACCTTTACCCTGATACATTCCAAATCTCTATTTTTAACCCAAACCTAATTTTTGACCCCCAGATCTTATACCCATTTGCCTATTTTACTTCTCCACTTGAGTGTTCAAGTTTGACATGCCTCAAGCTAAGCTCATTATATTGGCTTCCCGCCTCCACCCCACCTCATTCTCCCTGTTCCTTATCTCATGGCAATGGGAAGTTGGGTTGTTCACATCAGAATCCTGGGAGTAATCCTTGACTCTTTTTCTTCCTCAATCTTCCGACATTCAGTCAGCCACTATTTTACCAGCTGGACTTCCTAAATAGCTCATGAAACCACCCAACACCTCCTAACTGCATTATATTAGTTTAGTACAACCCACCACCAGTTCTCACTTTGATTCCACATTCATGGTCTAACTGTTGTCCTTGCTCTCAGTCTTTTCTTTCTTTAACCCATTCTGACACTGCAGCAAAATTGGTTTTCTAAAATCGAAATCTTATGATAACCTCCTCCTGCTTAAAACCACTGGACAGTCCAATTGTCTTAATGTTCCTGTGGAACCTGCATAATCTGATTGGGCATCAGCCCTTCAGCATTCTGAACTTCCCCTGCCATAACACTAATTGCACGATAATATCTTGAAATATCAATGTCTGTGCCTTTCTTTCCCCAGCAACCTTGTGCTTGCGTGACTTAGGTTTGTCAGAGGCATTTACTTTGCCTGGAGGAAAAGTAGGATTTTTAAAGCAGGAATTTAAAAAGCAGGAAATGGTCAATGTTCAGTATTTTTTTTTTAACTCTAAACAGCCTTTTGAATATTTGAAAAGATGTCCTGAGGGAATCAGAGAACAGAGTTTAGACCATAAAAATAGAAATAGAAAGAAGATAAAAGAAAAATGAAGCATGGCCTCTCCACCAGCTCCATATGAATGGAGTGTCTCTTGGGCTGAGGAGCAGGAGTGCAATGGGGTAGGAGGATGGGCATGGCCTTAGGGGAGGTGCGAGCTGGGAATGAGAGGTCTGATCGGGCAAGACAAAGACAGAGAAGTGGGATCAGCAGCAGGAGAATTGCTAGTAATGGAGAATGGCACCTGAGATTCTTGTTGAAGCTGAACCAATGTCTGCAGACTACTTGAGCTATTCTTGGGCATACCACAGTCTCCCCAGATGGGAAAGGCATATCAGTTGTTCATCTTGTCCTTGACTGCTTCCACTATAACAGTTCAATAGATAGTTGCTTTCCACCTGAGATATATGGGTAGTCACTGCTCCCCGCCATTTATTAAGAGGTTGGGATACTCATAAACTCTCCCCCAACAGAAGGTGATGGGGTCCTGACACCCAGAAATGAGATGGTAATATGGAAGGGACAGTCCCTGCACTAAGAGGTGGGTATAACTGGACAATAGTGAAAAACATTCCTTTTACACACTTACTACACAGTATTGTAATAACTTCCTTACTTTTCCTATCCTCCACTAGTCTGTAAGTTTGTGAGGTCAAAGCCCATGTCAGTCTTGCTCAGCATTAGGCCCAGTGCCCAGTGTAGTACCTGGCATGTTGCAGCTGCTTAGTGAACACTGGCTGGTTAAATCAATGGTGTAATAAAGCATGACCGATTTTGAATATACTGATTTTAGTGGTTTTTTTAAATAAGGAGAATATCAATATGGCAATGCCTTTTTATCCTAAGCTTGTACGGCCTGATACTTTTAAAAAGTATGTTAAGGAAGTAAATTATTAATGACTTTCAAGTAATTTTAAACTTTCGTGTTTTGTTGGTAAGACTTTTCAACCTTGGAGGCCTGTTTACAGTCTCCTGTACTCATCTTCTGGGCTCTGGTACAGATTTAAGGCTTCAAATGGTAAACTCATTGAAAGCATGACACCCAGAAAGTTAGGACAAGCCTGCATGTCACCCTAAACAAACTCCATTCATTCCATTGCAAGGCATAGTTTGATGTACAGAAAATTATTATAATCTTTTATTTTGTACTTGTGATAGAATCAGTAATGGGCCTCCAAAAACGTCCATGTCCTATCTCTTGGAACCTGTTACCTTATATGGCAAAAGGGACTTTGCAAATGTAATTAAGTTCAGGATTTTGAGAAGTAAAGATTATCCTGGATTCTCCAAATGGGACCGATATAATTACAAGTATAAGGGAGAGGCAAGAAGGTCAAAGTCAGAGGAGATGTGATGTTGGAAACAAAGTCAGAGAGAGATTTGAAGATGCTCAGTTGCTGGTTCTGAGGAATGCAGGCAGCTGCTGGAAGCTGCAGAAATCGAGGAAATGGATTCTCCCTCTAAAGCTTCCAGAGGGGAACACAGCCCTGTGACACTTTGATCTTAAGACTCCTGACCTCTAGAATTATAAGATAATAAATTTACATTATTTAAGCCATTAAGTTTCTGGTCAATTATTACACAACAGTAGGAAACAAAGGCAGTTTTATAAACTTTATCAGTTACATTAGGCATATTTGGAATGTTAGCTAAGAGAAGGTGTTTGAGAAGAACTTTGAGGTGATGCTCAATTGGGACAGAAAGGGAATTCTATAAACAGATCGGGTGATGCTAAGGAACTTAAATTATTCATTTATGTATGAATTGCCTTATGAATATTTATAAGCATATGTCTGAATATTATAAACCTATCCAGATTATATATATATATATATATATATATACACACACACACATACACACACACATATATATACACACACACATCACACACAAATACACACATATACACCATCTTGGGAGAGGTGTAAACAGCAGAGTGTGATATAAGAGTACCTAATCCACTTCTAAATTACACATGCCTTACCCAGATTTTCCACATATAATACTGTACACTCCTGGAAAAATAGTATTGTAAGAGTTAGTTTGAGAGATGAGAGACAGAGTTCTGGGGGGTAAATGAATTAATAATTAGAATAATTTGTATTAAATTATACAATGACATGTCGGTGTTTCATGGTGAAACAGCTATTAACTTTACTGGGTTTTCTCTGCGAACATGAAAAATACTGATCTTTGGGCAAAGGCAAAAAATATTTTAAGTCTGCTTATGTTTTAAATCACTAGGGTCAAGGTTAAGTGTGTAAATAGAGGCCATCAGTTGTGCCAACTGCTCAACCTGAATTCTACCCCAATTACCCCAATGTTTTAAGAGGTACCGATGAGACCCTCCTGGGCAAAATAATACTCTCCACCTTCACATAATCCCAGGAATTCAATTAGTAGTAATTTGTACAATTGTGTTAGGAAGACCTTTAGTCTTAGTCTTCTCCTAAAATGTCAACATTCATAGGATAGGGAAGTTCTCCAGGTGGTTACCACCAGCTACCTTAGCAGAAATAATTAGTGTAGATTCCTTTTTTAGGAGTGTAGGAGGTGGGAAGGGAGGGGAATACTAAAAACAGGAGGAAAGAGGATACCAGAATCTGCGTAAGGCTGGTCACAGCCAGTCTAAAAACCCTGCACTTAAAATGTTACCAAGCTTAACTGCAAGCAAAACTGAAAAATAAAAATTGCTAACTGCATTAACTGCTATTTCACTTTGTCCCTACAGTAGCCCTGTTTATTAGGTTGGTAAGATGATTTGAAATGTTCAGATGTAGAAAGTGAGGTCCAGAGCCGGAAGTGAAAGAGCCCTGACCAGTCCTAGCAGACCGCAAGCATGCACGGACACAACCACACGGCTGGGAGTTTAGAAGCAAGACTTCAGCGTAGGGGAGACAAATCACAAAGGAGGGTTTTGCACTGGGGCCTCAGATAGTGATCCAGCATTGGAATTGGAGTATCAGAGACAAAGCAAGAGCCCAATGGTTAGAATAAGACTCAAGGTGAAACTCAGCCGAGCAGCAAGTGTGCCTTGACCTTCAACTACTCGCCTGACAAGTTGAGTTTCTGCTGGCGTACTAGGGCTCAGGCCGCCATCGATGGTCACATAGGTTGAGACACTGTTCCTCAAACGGCAGGTCAGGACTCATCAATGGCCACAAAATGGGTTTAGTGGGTGGCAAAGGGCACTCTTTAAAATAAATAAAATAGACTAGAATGGATTAGAAGAGAAAAGAAGGTAATGAAGTGCACTATACTTCGTAATGGTTTCAGTTTTAGGTATATGTGTCATGTTGTGACACGAATTACAATTCTCAACGTCACGGTCAAAAGAAGTCTGAAAATTTCTCTTTTGAAACTGGAAGATATTGAGCAGGAAGCCAGGTCTGTCATTATGTTTAAAATATTATCTGTTTTGTCCGAATGCCTGTGAACTACCATAATAAACCAATCCAGGCTGTGGTGTGGCTGGATATGAATGAATTAAATATTACAGCCTCCTTCGTGCAGAT